TGTCAATTTGTCAGCGTCAAATTAAAAGTGTCAATATCATCAATTAATAATGGTATCAATACAAGTAGAACGGTAAGTAAATGATTGTAAATACCAAATTTTTTGGAGTGATACGTGGTTTAATTTTAAATTTAAAAATTTTTTTTAAAAAAACGTTTACTTTTTTTAATTTAATAAAATTAATTTACATGTTTCTGGTTTATTACATATTTTAATTAATAACACAATTAAATCGCTTTAAAATTGAAATAAAATACTTAAGATGTTGAAAAATGTAAAAGATACTCGTACCTACATAAAAAAAATGCGTGGTAGGTTTGATTTTAATAGTTTTTATTCAACCCATTGGGTTGTATAGTGTTTAATCAGTATTATTCTGTCGACCGTTGTTGTTTTATTGCTGGCAAGGTGCATTCCCTTGATGTTTGGTTTTTAAGCTTAGCTTAAGTGTTCAGTATCCGTTTTCTTTTGTTATATTTATTAAATCGTATATCATTTAACAGTTATCTAACTCTCACTCATCTCATAGGTACAACCAAAACCGAAATACTCTTATCTATAAGTTATTACAATAATAATAATTATGGCTTTGTCTACGTTAAATGTATTTTATTGAAAAATGTATTACTATTCAAATTCATATTCATTTTTTATAATTTTAATCGTAACACACACACACACACACATACCTACACACAAAAGAAAATGGTGAACGAAGAAGAAAAAATACGAAGTTTCCTTGGTGCTCAAGGTTAGGTTAACCTAAAGGCTGTTTTACTTATATACGAGTACAGTTGATAAATTTCGAAGAAACTTATCTTCTAGTACAAGTTATTATATAAATGAAAATTATTAATATATTTAGTTTGAATCAAATATGCGAATAGGTCTCTAGGTATCCGGACCTCAAAGATAAAGTGATTTATTTTAGTTTAAAAAAATTCTTATTAACTGCGTGATTATAATACAATTTTAACAGAAACGAGTAAAATTTTAGACTAACTAGAAAAAAAAATGAATATATCACTAGGCACTCCATGGCAATTAGATTGAAAATAATAAAAATCAGGTAAATTGGTTACACTCAGAAGAGTGTTTAGCACAACTCTGCGAAAAATATTGGAAAAATGTTAAATAGTATTATCACAAAATTAGAACATAAAAAGGCCTGTTCTTTTATATATATATATATATATATATATATATATATATATAAAAGGCTAAGGATTAGAAAATATTTTTTAATAACAATATGTGTATAGAATCTATAGAATCATAAGAATCATTTATAAATATTACTATTTTTTTTATTATTATTTATAATTCAGCTACTACTACTATTTAGCACTTGATTAAGTATATGTGTGTGTGTAATAAATATATCTAGAGATACTTTTGAATATATATTAATCAGTGAATTTGAAATTTGGTGTAATTATTGGTTGCTTGATAAAACTTTGTCGGCCTTTAAAAGCTCCCAAACGATGTGACCAGAACTGTTTTTTCTCGACTATTTATTTTTAAAAACGCTTATCATGTTATCAGCTACAGGTACAACAACTTAACAGAATTTTTCAACACTACGAAGAATCAAAACATGGATGAGGTCAAGAATATCAGAGAAATTATTAAATGGACTGGCATAAGTTACATACTCTTCGAGATGACATTATAAAACACGATCAAGTTGTAGACATATTTTCTCAATTAAACAGAAGATTACACAGGTTTACCCAGATCTTTCTACTACACAACTTGCAATCTTTCATGTATTAATATTATTTTTAATGCCTTCCCACAACGGTCGTAGACGGATGTTTTATTAACAGACTTCAAAAATATGTTTGACTCAATAAACTATGACGTATTACTCGTAGTCCTTAAAACTATAATATTTCACTACTTAAGTCACTATTATACGCATAAATTTATACAATTATCTTTTATAATTCGATAATTAGGTACATAAAACACCAATATATCGTCCTTCAGATTTATGTATTATAACTTAAGAGTCTCGATGTGGCTGTATATACTTGAAGAATATTTCTCTTACACTTTATTATAATAACTTACAAAATATATATTCGTAGAATAGCATTTTTTTAGATTGATATATGCAGTGTTTTTCATAATATTCTATTCGTAAAAAAAGAGATTGATTTACACTATAAAAGAGGTCTGCTGTTTTTTTTTTTTTTTAAACTCATAACGAT